TGCCTTTTTGGCTATGTAGTTACATTGGGCTCTAGCACTTAAATCATTAGAGATGAGTACTTCAAGATCCCTGACAGAGCCAGAGTTCTCCTGCTTGAGTAGGGGGCTGGACTTGAAGACCTCCAAGGTCCCTTCCAGTTCTGTTCTGTTTTATACTGGCCCGTGTTTACAGAGGCACGATTGAGAGCGTTTTAACAAACCGCATCCTTCTTTGGTTTGGTGGCTGCAGCACCCTAGCTAGAAAGTCCATACAGAGAGTGGTGAGGGTAGTGGAGAAGATTATAGGAAGCTCGCTTCCCATTATTCAGGATATTGCTTATAAGTGCTATGTGCTTAGAGCTCGAAGCATATACCCACTTCACGGTCTGTTTCTGTTGCTCCTCTCTGGGAGGTTTCGGAGTATCTATAGCAGGACTACTAGATTCTGTAACAGCTTTGTTCCTTATGCCATCCATCTGGTAAACTCACAAGATTTGCTTTGCTCGCCATGTACATATACATCTGGACTAGACTGTGTTGTTTCTGTGCCATGTATGTTGCGTATATGCATAATTTTGTGTTTATTTTGTCATGTTTATGTAGTGTATATTGGAGGTGGTGACCCTTTGAGAGTTATATGCAATGAAATTTCATTTTAATGTATGCAGATTAGTATACATTTAAAGTGATAATAAAGTTGTTCTGAGTGACCCAAAAGGGATTTTAATTACGACTTTCCACTGTTGGTGACTTTGATGGGAGGGCAGCATTCTTTATATTTAAAAAAAACGTTTGATCTTATATATTTTTTTAAATTAAAATTTCCCACTTTTATTATTTTTAGAAAATATGTTGGGAATTAATACTAGGAGTCGTCCATCATAAACAAACCTTATTCTCTTTATTCAACATGTATTTAATTGAAGAAGGGGGAATCTTGGGAGTGCTAAGGAGCCCTGGGGATGTTAAATGATTTTATGGGTTAAATGACTTGCGGGCTGATCAAAGGTGAACCCACCAGATGGTAAAGTGGAGAAATTGCAGTGTTGCAAGGTGCAATAAAGGAAACACTGTTGGATGAGCCAAGATTGTTTTATTCTTTATTAAAACTAGTCCTCAATTTCTTAAGGTGGGATGGAAGCAATTCAAGTATAAACCCTGAAAAATTAAATCATCTCGTTACATTAAAAGCCCATAAATGATTTTCTCAAGTATTTGGATTTCATTTTACCCTTCCTCAAGCCATTTTGCCTTTTTTTCTGAAAGAAATGATAAACTGAACCGATCTTTAGCTGAAAACTATTGGAAAGCCAAGGTAAACATGTTGCACGCTTGTTACTAATATTGTATGGTTATTTGCATGAGTTAATTTGGCACCTAACCATTTCTTAAGGAACCATGGTCATTTTTCAGAAGGATAAAAATAGAGAAAACAATATTGCTAACATTATATTGCTAGTACTGCTTTGGTACAATCAGTACTGAGTAGGAATCACAAATGGACCTAAGGCAAATACTGTAATTCATATGGCTTAAAAGTATTTGTTAAAAAAAAAAAAACAGTTACATTGAGAGGTTTTTAAAATCCATTTATTTCTTTTAAAGATAACAAATTTAAATGGATAGCATTTCAAGTGCACTTTCCTTGTTGTCGATGGCAGTCTTATAATTTAAAAGGCAGCAGTTCTAGAATGTAAGATATTTTGTGCTTTGCTGCCTCTTTTCTTCATGAATACCCACATCTTTACCACTTACATAAACGTTTGAAAATCAAATAAAAATGAAAGCAAAGCTTCCCAGCTCAAACCGTTATTGCACTAAAAAACATTCATAAGCCCATTGTGGAAAAAAAGTTGATGTCTTTTTCCTCACAATCATCTTCTGTACAGACCTGGGAAAGAAACTAATTGCTAAAATACATCCTGTATTATTTGCATTTCATCATATATTTATATATAGCACTGCAACATCCAATAAGTTTCTCTGTGCCCTTTTCCATAGAGTAACTAAGGGTTTGTTTAAAAAAAATATATCAGGTCTTCCAACCATTCTTAGATCTCATTTCTTTCCCCCTATTCGTAATATTTTAAATGGTTGCATTTGAAATTGGAAAAAAAAATACTTAACAATGCTTTGCCTTGATTTGGTGTTTCATACTTATTAAGGCATACTATTTTTATATGTAACTTCTAATAGTTGTACCAATAGTTGTCTTATTGCACACCGTTCCTGATTATGCATATTGACCCTCTTCGGTCAATAATATATTATAATATAGTCTATATTGAAGAAGGCAAAGCTTTACTGTGATATTAAAAATCTGCAAGGTCGCGGATCCTTATGAAGCTGTAATATTTCAAAAGGAGCAGACAGAAACACACAGGCAGTAAACCTTGATCCCACATTACTAAACTATATGTCATGTTCACCAAAAGACTGCTTCAGAGGGAAACTGTTTCAGAATATGACCATCTCTGGAAAGATTTTTAAAAAAGGTTAGCTACAAGTATTAGGTGTTTGATTGTGTGCGATTAAGAGTGTGTCTCTACTATTTATTTTCTATATATAATCTGCGTAACTAGCGTCTTCTTATGATCTACCCCTAACCATTATGGTCTACATTTTTATTTAATTTATATGGCTGTTCAGATCAGACATTGTGTCATACAATATATCAAAAAGCAAACAACGGTTTAAGTTAAAACTCTTAAGGCATTTGTTTTTGTTTTTTATTTTTTTTCAATGGGAGATATTTTCAAGTTGTATGATTGGAGTGGCTTTCTTTTTTTTTTGTCTTCCTTGCCACCAAATTTTTTTGTATGTGACTACAGTACATAAAGCCAAAAAGGTATTTTTGCAGTCTTTTCCTTCCTTAATTTTATTTATCATTTGTGAAATCGATCCATCTCCCAAAAGGCAAAAGAAGAGTTGATATCCTTATCCACAAACTCAATGCTACAGGATCAATAGAATTCAATAAATTCAATAGAATTTATTACCCTTTTTGCTTTTTTTTGGGGGGGGGGAGGGGGGAAATGTGATTTGTTAGAAAAGCATATAGATTATTGGACCCCTCCCCCATCCAATCAAATTAGAGGAAAGGCACCAGATAAAAGAATCCCGTAGGGTTTTCAGCAAGAATACTAAAGCAGCAAGCAAGAGATCAGATATCTTGGTTCAGATCCGTGCACGGATACTACTACCCTGGCCGGGTAATGACACATCTGCAGAAGCAAAGCACCAAGAACCCAACAGAGATTCATAAAAATTGGGGGAGAGGAGTTTTGAGACCTCCAAACTTGTTACCCAATAATTTCAGCCACAATGAAAAAAAAAAAAGTTCTCTATATCCTAAATTAGCAATCTGACCTGACTGTATGACCCTCCAACAGAATAGCTGTTAGTCTTTCCTTAGTTATACAGAAAACCACTGGAGTTAGTTTTTATGCTGACCAACATTATCCAAAATGTGTGGAAATTAATATTTGGAAATGATGCTGTTTTATTCCCACAAAGACGACTGTTTAGATGTTAGTGACTTTACAAGCTGGGTGATAAGAGGTAGCCCCACGTTAGCTATTGGTCATGAATCCTGGTATCTTGCATTGATGTGGAAATGAAATACAGAAAGAACAGGAGGGAAAGGTAAACTTAAGTCATGTTTATGTTTTCATCAGCATAGCAAGAAGTCCTTCATATCATTTCTCCAGCAATCAAAAAAAAAAACAAAACACTAGTGTAGTGTGAATCATATCTCTGGTAGCTGGACCTTGAAAGTCAGATTGAGTTTTTTCCATTAAAAAAAATACTCTTGGAGGGAGTTCCGGTTTGCAGCACTTCGGGACAGGCAGCAATCCGTGATCGTGCGTGGTTTTTGCCTGCGCTCGCCGCTGGAGTGCCCTGAGCCATCCGGCTTCAGGGCTAAGCCACTTCCGTAGAAGGTGGTGAAGACAGGGGGGATCTGGCAGGGTTGAGAGGATCACACCTCTCCTCCCTAGCCAGCTAAACTCCCTTTTCCAAAGGCGGAATGAGCGGTGGTCAGAAATGGCCGCCACAAAGAAGCGCTCAGCCGGGAAAGAAAGTGCAGGAGGAAGTTAAGAAGTGAAAGTTTTTTGGCTGACCGGGACAAAGTAACAACGAAGATATCCTGGAACCTAAAACTTGCAAAAGATACATCGTTCCAAATACCCAAAAAGCTATTATTAAATAGAATAATAATCTGAATGAATAAAATGAATGTTTATGTTTAAAATGAAAATGGATAAAACAGCAATATATATGAAATTATCATTAAATTTGTTATAATAATTGAAATAAAAGTTGTGTGTTAATTGTTCAGAGTTTGGAGTCTTCTTTGGAAGCCTAGTTGCAGCAAAAGAAGTCAACCTTTAAGCACTGAATTTGAAAGATACTGAGGAGAAATTAGCCCGTATGTCTAGTGATAATCAACCAACGGTTTTTTTCCAGGCTCACCTCTTTAATAAGCAACTTTTATAAAGTATATTTTCCAGACTTAAAAGAAAAATTAAGGTTGAAGGTATTAGATGCTATTTGTTTAGCAGTTCCCTGAGGCTTCTCGTCTCAGCCAAGCACTATATAAAAATAACATTCAGTCTTTGGTAACAAATTATAGCTCCAAGTTGCAGTTTTAAAAAAGTACTCTCCATATATATAGTCTAGGGATCCCATATTGCCGGATAAAACCAGTGACAAAAGTAGTGGAGTTTTAAAAGTTCTGATTGTTGATTTAAGATCAAATTCACATCTTTTTTTTTTTTAAATGATTGAACACTGCTTAAAATGTGAGATGGCTTAATGGCTCACAACCTCTCACAATGTCATTGTAAGAAACATACATTATTGTGAATGAAAGCCTTAGAAGATCTCCATCAAAGTTTTTTGGCAACCTATGGAATCAAAGAGATTTTCACCAGGTCTTTTACCCATTCACTCCCCCTCACTTCCCCACTGCTCCCACTATAGCACTATTGCATGATTGTTTTAAAATTTATTCTTTTCTCTTTTTTTTGCTCCTTTTTTACCCTCTCCAAATAAGGGTTAGGCAAACGTGAGTGGTTTGATTACTTGCTTAGCAGCAACATAATATTTCATCAGTTCCAAACTTTAAGCCTTTGGTGATAACATTCACAAAAATCACCACTCTAGCTCTACTGGATATTCTCCAACAAGGCACGCTGTACAATGGCCGATTTTCCCGCTTTTGAACTTGCTGATTTTTAGGTTATTTTCCTGGTCTTGTCTTGCTTTTATGCTTTCTTGAACAGAGGAAACCAATCCTTCTACTGAGAGGTAAACAACGCTGTCAGCTCCTGAAGAGAAGAAAAACACATCACTTTTGTACTATTTTATGCTGCCTAAATTGTCAGCTCCTGAAGAGAAGAAAAACAGATCAAGTTGTACTATTTTATGCTGCCTAAATTGCTTAACTCAAATATTTTCTATAGTTGGATCTTTAATAAAATATATTAATTGGTAATTTGCACCATTAGATTTTACAAGTAGGGTAAATTTGTACATGTACAAAACCTTCGTTTTCATTTACATTGTAGATGTTAATTTTTTTGGTATCTTTTTGAATCTCTGCATCGTGGATTTCTGTTAGTTTACTTACTTGATAATGCTTGTTAATCATAGTTCAATCAAAAGAATGGAAATTCTGTTAAAATGTGTTAAAATATGATGTTAATGTTTTATTTTCCAATGACATTCCAACTGTAAAAAAGTCCTGTTTTCAGGAAGAGAAGTTTAAAATATGGAACTAAGGATCTGACATTTTAATTAGATGGATCAATTAGCATTAGCTAATCTTGATTCTTTAAATTTGCAATAAAAGCTTGCTGAGCATTCTTTAGACCTACCTAAGCCAAAGATTTTGATGTGTGTCTATGTATATCAGCTGTCAGACTGTATTTCCAATTATCTAAGGCAAAATATGCTGTTCCTTTTATGAAGATGAATTAAATATTGACCAAATATATGTTAGCTAAACATTCCATATTAATTCTAATCTAATCTTACATATTATTTCATGATGTGCATGTAAGTCTGCAGCACATTAATACATGCTTATTTCATTAAGCAAAGGCATTAATATACGCAGAAAAACCAATGCATTAAATCAGTGGTCCCCAATCCTTTTTTGTGCCGCGGCCCAGTACCGGCATCACAAAATCATCCATGGCCCGGTACCGGCATCAGCACGCATGGCAAGGTGAGCTGAGCGACTGGCCAGCCAGCCGTCCCCCGCTTCTCCCCGCCACCTTCAACTCCTCCTTTGTACCTGTGTCGATGGGCTTCGTGACGGCTTCATGACGGTCGCTCGGCTCGCCTTGCCATGCGTGCTGAAAGAATCCTAGCGCCTTAGTTTTGTTCGAAGCCACACACACCCCTTGATGAAACTAAGGCGCGAGGATTCTTTCAGCACCCAAATGCCGCTTTCTACCTGGAAAAGCTCACCGGAAGCACTTTTTCATCAAAACAAGATGGCAGCGCCCAGCAAACTGGCGGCCCGGTAGAAATTGTTCCCCGGACCGGTACCGGTCCAGGGACCGATGGTTGGGGACCCCTGCATTAAATGGATATTGGAAACAAATTCATGGAAACAATCCTCCTTTAATTGACCACAAACACCTGTCTGTGTGTGGAGGTAAAACATAGAAAAATGGGGTCTTTGCAACCCCTTGCTCAAGCACTAGACCCTAGACCAGTCCAGACAAATGGCGATCCAGCGTCTTCTTAAAAACCTTCAGTGATGCAGCCCCCACAAATTTTGGAGGCAAGCTGTTCCACTGATTGTTCTCACAATCAGTAAATTTCTCCTCAGATCTAGATTTGATGTTTTTTTTTAATGATCTTCCACCCATTACTTCTTGTCCTGCCTTCACTTCAGGTGCTTTGGAGAAGTCAAAGCTTCTCAAGTACTGGAAGATTGGTAGAAGAGTTCATTTTAAACTTCCATGTCCCCAGACACTGCCTCTTTTTGAATAAAATAAAGTATTTTGCACATTAGGAGGAAATTATGAGGGGAAAAAAAAACTCCATTCTCAAATGTGCAAGGCTCTGTAAGTGCAAAGGTCTTTATGTGTCTTTGGTTATATCATAGTTTTTTTTTCTATTCAAGAAATAAAACTATCTATTCAGAATTAAGCAACTGATTTCTATTGGGCTTGTTCTAATCCCAATAAATGAGAAGAGTATTGAAGTTCAAGACGTCTAGAACAGGGGTGTCAAGCTGGATTTTTTCGAGGGCCGGATCAACATTGTAGTTCTCCGCTGGCCTGGGGGTAGGTGGGTGGGGATGGGACGAACGGCTCCTAAGGAATGGCCCCCCCATGCCCCGTTTATGGCGTGAATGGCCTCATGTAGCACTTTGCTGGCCAAAACAGGATGCGGGGCCTCCCGTGCCCCCTCCTCCCGCGGCCCATTTTGGCTGCCAGAGGCACTGTGGGCCGGTCCTTTGCTACTTCCAGGCCGGTCCTGCAGGACAGATTTAAGCATCTCTGGTCTAGAAAATTTAACCCCTCATTTCATAAGATGATCGTGTCAGCTTTTACAAGATCTAAAGAGACGCAGGTGAAAGGCAGACAGCATCGCTCCACTAATTTTCAATAAATTTCTGCAATGTGTTACTCTAATCACCACCAACACAACCTTATTAATTATAGCTATAACAATCTCTCTGCTGTAATAAACTCAATTTGCCTTCAAGATTAACCTGGCTACCCGTCTGAAGCTATTGCTTGAATGAAAAATAAAAACTTTTTTTTTACCTATGTAGCCTGCTAGGTCTTTAAATTCTGGTCTGTTTGCAATAAGTTCTTCTTTCGTTGGAATGTTTATTCCCATGTAACATGGAAATTTTATTGGAGGTGAAGCCACACGGATGTGCACCTGTGAAGGGAAACGCTATTATGAGACTAGCAGTGTTTTAACTACATCATAGTTTGCAATGGCAAACACGAGTCAACTTTAAATGCTACAAGGATAAGGGTAAGAACAGAAAACACCGTTGAAGAATTGACTGAGTTTCTCTTAGTAGCAAGAACAGTAGTAGTTAGAAGCAGAAGAGTGTTGAGAAAGGAACAGTCATGAAAATATCTCGTCCCTTCTCCCTCTACTCTGATATGCTCACTTACCTCCTTAGCACCAGATTCTCTCAATAGTTTAATTATAGGGGAAATAGTGTTGCCTCGCACAATCGAATCATCAATAAGGACAACTCGCTTCCCCCTGAAGTTGTCTGACAAGACTCCAAATTTTTTGGCCACTCCCAGCTGTCTTAACCTCATGTTTGGCTGAATGAAAGTTCTTCCTACATATCTGTTTTTGCAAAGCACTTCAATGTACGGTAAGCCACACTGAAAACAAGCAAAACACGAAGGTCAAGGTACATTTTTGGGGCAGTGATTAAAACAATTTCCTTATCCAATACCGTTGGTTTGCAATGAACTGACTTTTTAATTCATCGCTTTGAAATGCACCAAGGAAAGACCAAGTGCTGAAAGTCTGTATTAGTACAATCCCCTGTATTTCTTTGAGACAAAATTTATTCATTTGGTATTCTAATTCAGAGTAAAGGTAACAAGACATCCCAAACATTTTTTTTAATCAATGTTTTCCTGATGTTTTGTATTTTATTGGGCTCAAGGGGATTATAAATTATAATTAAAACAACAACAAAAACAAGGAAGGCGTAGAGCGGTACCTTTTGGGCATAGCCAAGAGCTGCAGGCGTTGCAGATTCTGGGACTGTGCTAACTAAATCTGCTTCCACTGGGGCCTCAATAGCAAGCTGTTGACCGCATCTCCTTCTTACAGAATATACCATCTGACCTACGTGAAGAAGGAAAACGTCATATGTGTTTTTATGCGGAACTGGCCATAAATCTCTCTCCTGCTTTTAAGTTAGCTTTCTGAGAAGCACCTATCTAAATTTCAGTGATGATGGTCAGGTCTCATAAAAACTTGACCTAATAAAGTCAGATCTTTTTAATTTACATAGCAATTTCCATACAGTGCATTGAAGAGCCAGCAATAGCAATTAAAAGTTATATACCGCTTCACAGTGTTTTACAGCCCTCTCTGTTTACAAAGTCAGCATATGGCCCCCAACAATCTGGGCCCTCATTTTACCCACCTGGGAAGGACGGAAGGCTGAGTCAACCTTGAGACAGTGAGGATCGAACTGCTAAATTGAAGTCAGTCGGCAGTCAGCAGAAGTAGCTTGCAGTACTGCATTCTAACCACTGCGCCACCATGGAAGAACTACATAATTTTTAAAATCTAAAATAATGTATCCCAAATCAAAGATGATTTGGGGATAATTTACCTTCGAAGATGCTATCTGGCCTTGCAAAGTACACATATTCAAAAATGCAGAATGCTGTTGGATCTCCTTTAGGTCTCGGTACAATATCTAAAGTTTGGACATCGTATCTGGATATTTTCACAATCTCTCCAGGCATGACTTCTCGATAGTATCTTGAAAATATAGTGATACATGTTAAACATCCCAACTGCTTTACTTAGAAACTCTGGTATTTGGTTATAGAAAAGTTTCATTTTCAGATTGAAAAGACAATAACATGTTTTTTTTTCCTTAAAGAGCAAGGGTATTTATGAAACTTTACATTTATTTCTTACTTTGTCAGATGTTTTTGATCATTATTCTGCACTTATTATTTATTAAACTTATACCCCCTTATAAAAACAGGGCAATTGTTTAAAAAATTTTTTTCTCAAATTCTACAAGAACTTACTTTCTTCTTGAAAGTGAAAAATGGAAAGAATTAAAAAGAAAAAAGTCCATTTTTCTTTGAACATGCAAATTGAAGCTGTCAATTTCAAGGACAAATAAAATATATTCTGATTATATATGCATAAACAAAAGCATGATATTTAGGGCTTAATGGTTTATTTATAATTAGTTTTCACAGATGAATTGTTTCATTATTTATCTTTTAAAAAGTACCCTAATCCTAACATTGGAAAGTGATTCAGTGTGATATTGACTTTCAGGTCAAATGCTTTATTGTTTTAAAACTAAATATTACTATACTCCAATGTGGTAGATGCAGTGTCCAGTTCTTGCTTAAAAAATGAAGAAATTATTGATTGGTTTTTAATTCCTCTTTAAACAAATGAATTATTAACTTACTCTGCACCAATAGATAAAAAGCTACAGGATTCTGAAGAAACTACCCAGCCTTCAGTTTCAGCATTATTTTTCCCTGTAATAAATTCAACAATAATTAAAGAAATGTCTTAACAATTCTAAGAACTTATTTCTGTCTGTTTAACTTTACACAGTACATTTGCTGTGGCTGCAACTGCAGTTTTCTATAATAAAACTGAAGCCTACTTAAACAGAGAACAGACACTTGCAGGGTATAATAATTTTCCAAAACACAACAAAATGTTCACTAACAAAATATGTTATTTATACTTTGCTGTGATTGCAGGATGAAAAATTGATCTGTCTACAGCAAATATACAGCAAAAAGTGTGAAAATAACCAATGCCACAGGTGATTCGTTAGTCTAGATGCCAAATATTCTTTTCCAAAATTTAAATTTAGTTCAAATAATTCTAAAAATATTTCTGGAAATTGACTGATGTATTTAAATTAAAATTTACATCGATACATTTGAACATGTTCTTATTCTCTGTCGTGATTACCAAAAATATTTATTTTCAAATATTCCAGATGTCACAGACCAATCACAAATATACCCCGTTTTACTTTACAGTTTAATTTAATATTATATTATTATATTTTCCAGTGTATGTTACGTTTACTGGAGACTAGCTCAGAAACTTAAAAACAGGTGACTTTCTCATAACAATATGCAGCAATTACATTTTTAAAGGTAGGTGGTTCACTGATTAAAAGAAAACAATTTGAGAAAGGTAACAGTATTTTTAAAGTGAACATACTTTCAGCTATAGTTCTCAAAGGACTATTTCAAGGGTCTTCAAACTTGACAGCTTTAAGACTTGTGGACTTCAACTCCCAGAATTCCTCCTCCAGTCATGTTAGCTCGGGAATTCTGGGAGTTGAAGTCCACAAGTCTTAAACTTGCCAAGTTTGAAGACCCTTGGACTATATTAACACATAGGCAAACCGTACCTTTTCCATTGATATCACCTACTGGAACAAGGCGGCCAATACAGAGAGGACGGTTCCCATAGGGATCACGAACTGCATAAATAATGTCTTTATGCATCATCAGAAGTGAATATGAAGTGGGTGTTTCATTCATCAAATTTTTAATCCTGAAATAGAAAAGCTAGTTTAATACATTGCTTATTTCAAGAATTCCAACAATCGGGAGGAGGGGGGCACTTGAGCAAATGGAGGTCTGTTGTATCGATTTAAATTATTTTCTCGTCAGGCACAGAATTTACCTTGCCACCCAATCTGGTGTATCATCTTCCTCTAAAGGAGGGGTGAATGCCAACAGTTGCGTGATCAGTTCACTATCAGAACTGGTAGACAGGCCCACTCCATGACGCATTAGCTGTGTATAACAAAAGACAAAGGTTTATTATAGGTATAGGTAACTTTAGTGCAGGTTCTCTCCGCTCCCCCCTCCCTCTGTGTTTGTGTTTGTGTTTGTGTGTGTGTGTGTGTGTGTGTGTGTGTGTGAAGTTGGCAGAGTGCCATTGGGGACAGCTAAATGAATCCAGATTGACCATGTAATGAATTTAGCATTCTGTGCAGATGGTAAACTTTTCATTCAACATGGAAAAATGATGCAATAGTTGATGTTATGGTTACACTGATTGTTACCAATAACTAGCTCCATATCCGTGCTTCGCTACGAAACTATGTGGTTGGGCTTAGTTTTGGGGTTGAAACAATATTTGCTGTGTGAGCAAGAAGGAGACAGCAAGGACCCTGGGCATGGCTTAGCTCAACTGTTCTGCAGTAAAGCTGCCCTGAATGTGTTCCACCGTAGGTTTGAGAGGACATCAGTATAATCTATCGCTACCTTCTTCATCTCAGATACATACGACAGCAGCCAAATCTCCTATACCTATTCTCATCCCTCTGGGCCCTCCTCCACCTCTGGTATTCTCAGAGAAAAGATGTACAAGGTCTGTTTCATAGACAAAAGATCAGAAAAGCACCAGGCCCAGGCAGAGTAATTCATTCTTGGCTGAAAGCCTGTGCTGAACAACTGGTCTCCATCTTCACGCACATCTTTAATAAGTCACTGGAGATGTATTACTATGTCCCTTCTTGCTTCAACTGCTCCATTATCATGTCAGTTCCCAAGAAACCCTCCACCAGTAAGCTAAATGACCGATTGCTCTGACGTTCTGAGAGTTCAGTGCTGGCCCACCTGAAAATCATGATGGATCTGCTGGTTAGACTCCCTTGTGGTTTGCTTACCAAGCAAACACATCGGCTGATGATGCTTGTAACCCCTTGAATCCCCTATGCATGGGTCCTTATTGTAGACTTCAGCTCAGCATTCAACACCATAATTCCAGAAATGCTTCACTCTAAACTGATTCAGCCACCTGTGCCTTTCTGTACTTGTAGGTGTAACTTTTTGACAGACAGGAAGTAACAGGTGCAGCTAGAGAAAATTGCATCTAATACCCAGGCAATTAGCACAGGCGCCCCTTAGGGCTGTGCACTCTCTCCATTGCTCTTCTATATGCTAATGACTGCATGTCTAGGGATCCCTCTGTTAAAGTACTGAAGTCTGCAGATGATACAAGTGTCATTGGTCTCATTTGAGACAGTGACGAGTCTGCCTATAGAAGGGAGGTTGAACAACCACACACCGTAGCAGTCTGGAGCTGAACATGCTTAAAACTGTAGAGGTGAGAATGGATTTTAGGAGGAGCCCTTCTATTTGAACGCTCCTTGCTATATTTGACAGAACAGCATCCGTAGTAGAATCCTTCAAGTTTCGGGGTTCGATAATCTCCCAGGATTTGAAATGAACACCTAACATTAGAACCACTATTTAAAAAACCCAAGAAAAAAATGTTCTTCCTGCATCAACACAGGAAGTTCAAACCGCCCCAAGAGCTATACAGTTTTACAGAGGAATGACTGAGTCTGTCATGATGTATTTCTGTAACTGTCTATCTTGGTACAGTTACCAAACAGAACAGGTACAGATTCCAATGGATAGTTAGGACTGCAGAATGAACAATTCCAACCCGCTGAATACCTAATTGTCACAGTACCGTCTAACGTCTATGTACATTTTACCCATGTTGTATGGCTGATCATCATCATTATCAGCCTTCTTATCTTCTTCACTACCTCCTCTTATTTGTATTATGATTATGGTTACTATTACTCTGTTGTTTTGCATCTACAATGAGAGCTTCTAAACTGGAGAAAAGTTCTTTGTGTATCTAATCACACTTCCGCTATTGCCATTGTTGTTCTCTTCTGTACTGTTCTATTCTAAACAAACAGGAAAAAAAAAACCTGGATCAAAAGGATAGAAGATAGGTACTTATTTTAGTACAGAATTTTTGTATTCCACATTTCTCATTCACAGAATGTCTACAAAAAAAAAAACCCTCTGAGTTTGTAAGACTAGGATTTCTCGTTTTAAATTTAACATCACTGTTTTAATTAGCGTAGTATAGCAATTGAGGCACTGGAGTGAGACAGAGATGATCAGATTCAAAGATCTCCTTAGATATTGGAAGTCAGTTTGGTGATTTTTGGGTCAGACTGTTTCCCCCCGCTGCCAGTGTCATGCCCCTGGTGGAGGCGGACTCTGAGGAAGAGGAGGAACAGCCAACAGGGAGTGGAAGTGTGGCTCCGGAGGTGGTGGAGGAGGCTGGGGAAGGGCAGAGGCCGGCTGAGCAGTCAGAGGAGGACCCAGGCCCATCTCCTATCCATCCTTGGGCATGCAGGGAGGAGACGATAAGGGAGAGATGTGGTCTACAGGGGAGGAGAGGGCCTTGATCCTCTTCATGGGTTGCAGGTGTGAGATCTGCATAAAAGGTTGGACCTGCGTGCTAACAGACACTGGAGACAAATTAGTGTTTTATTCCTAAAGAAGGTTTATCTTGGTTGGCATTCTTCCAACAGACTGTCCCTGGTTATCTTCCTGAAGTTGGCAATTATCTATCCTGGTCTGTTGTGAAACTTTATTCAGTGCGGTTTGGTTTTGGTTTTTGCTTCGTTATCGGCTCTTTGAAATTGAACTGTGTTTCTTTCCTTTGAAATGTTATTTTGAAAGTAGTTTAGTCCTCCACTGTGAACAATTAAACAGTGAAGCCAAGCTGAAGGCATTAAAGGACTTTTATTTACGTTTTGGTTTTTGTTGTATTTCTGATATACTCTGGGTCATCACACCTAGATTGGGAACTTGAAAAACATCTACCTACCAACCTAGACTGAATCAGCATAGTAAATAATGATATATAGCCTTCAACGTATCAACTTATTTTTAAGTGGCATCGATAGGCCACCCAATTCAGAACAATCTACTGAAGAAATCTTCACTCTGCAATGGATTGATTCAGGCTGATGATAATTATATACTAATTATGGAAGAACAGACATAGTTGATATTCACCAAATTGTTCGTAAATTCTCTAATTTCTGCCAAAGGGATGTAAAATGTACATCTTCTCAGTCATTTTCAGAAGCTGCACAAAATAAATTTCCGGGAGTGATTTACTTCTTTGGCAATTTGTTTCATTCACAACTACAGATATGATAATAAACTAAACTGCACTCAAAACAACCTATTATCAGTATTACATTGTGTATGGTAGAGAATGAATTAAAGGTGAATATGATGCTGATTGGCACTCTTCTCTTCACACCAGACGACCTTTTTGTGAGAGAACAAGAGGCCAGAGAATAGTAATACTCTGATGGTCATTTCAAAAAATCCTTTCTTAGTGAGCACCTAGAAGCCAAGAGGAACATATGTGCCAAATTTGAAGTTTGTAGGCTTTACGATTCTGGAGATTTTGTGATGATGCGTGAGTGGCATTTCACATTTATTTATATATAGATTTAGAGGGGCAGGATGGAAAAGATTTCAGAATAATAGAGTTGGAAAAGACCTTGGAAATCTTCTAATCTAGTCCAACTATAATCTAGTCCAACTATATTTCCTGCTTAGGCAGGAAACCCTATACCATTTCAGACAAATGGGTTGTCCAATTTCTTCTTAAAACCTTCCAGTGTTGGAGCATTCACAACTACTGGAGGCAAGTTATTCCACTGATTAATTGTTCTAACTGTCAGAAATTTCTCCTTAGTTCTAGGTTGCTTCTCTCCTTGATTAGTTTCTATCCATTGCTTCTTGTTCTTCCCTCAGGTGCTTTGGAGAATAGCTTGACCCCCTTCAACTTTGAGGCAACCCCTGAGATATAGGAACACTGCTATCATGTCACCCCAAGTCCTTCTTTTCATTAAACTAGACATACCCAATCCCAGCAACCGTTCTTCATATGTTTTAGCCTCCAGTCCCTTAATCCTCTTTGTTGCTCTTCTCTGGACTCTTTCTAGAGTCTCAACATCTTTTTTACATCATGGCGACCAAAGCTGGATGCTGTATTCCAAGATGACTAAAGAAGGTGAAAGGAAAGCTTCATACAAGCTCAGATTGCTGCTGTGCATTAGGGCTGGGTTTAGGATTCCGGTTTCCTTCCAAGTGACCTTGACCGCTACAACTTAAACCTTCTAATGTATTTGGACTGTACCCTTAAAGCGATCTTTGCATCCTATTACTACCCAACGGATATAAACCTCATCTATTAGGAGTGAATTTACTATCCTTTCCCACTTTCTCATCTTAGGAAAACAGATCCATACCTTTCTCCTCAGTCGCACAGCATTCGTTAGCTCTCCATTGTGGGCGACCGCAATCTTCCCGTGCAAAGTTTCCACCACAAACGGTTGACAATTATCAAGGACAGACACCCCAGAGGTAGAGTATCTTGTATGGCCGATTCCAAGATTTGAAACGTACAGTTTCTTCAGACTGTCTTCGCTGAACACGTGGTTAACCAGGCCCATTCCCTGCGAAGAAAAAGGAAATGGGACGGATGAACTAAAATGGCGCTTTCAGTATTGCTTACAGTGGACAGCAGTGTCAAAGTAATCCCTTTGGGAAGAAGAAAAAGCTCTACTTAATTGAGATTGATTTACAAAATGTCTATGACTGCCTGTCTCATATAATGAGTCTGGACAACTCACACCAATCCAAAAGCAAAAAACGAAACCTTCCCTTACAAGGCTCCAGATCAAATATCTTCCTAACTCAAGTCCCATCCTAATCTAATGGCTGGGAGAAAACACAGGTCTTTGTAGCCCTACGGAGGAATAAAAGGGTAGGAATTCCTCGGATCTAAGGTGGGACAAACTTTCAAAGAACTTACCTCCCAAGACCTATCAGGTGGCAACATTTAAGGGAGGACACCTGCCCTAGTGGTGGGATTCAAAATTTTTTACTACCGGTTCTGTGGGCGTTGCTTGGTGGGCATTGCTTGGTGGGCATGGCAGGGGAAGGGTACTGTAAAATCTCCATTCCCATCCCACTCCTAGGGGAAGGTTACTGCAAAATCCCCTCCCCTCCCCTCCCCACCCCACTAACCTGCTTTCCAGCTCCGTTCTCCTGTGCAGGGCAGCAAAAGAAGACCCAGCCAATCAGCTGGGACTCGGAAGGCAGAGAATAGATGAGGGCGGGGCCAGTCAGAGGCGGTATTTGCCAGTTCTCTGAAAAATTTCCACTACCAGTTCTCCAGAACTGGTCAGAACCTGCTGAATACCACCACTGGCATACCCTATCTGGGCTTAGTGTGATGGGAAAATACTCTCGGGGAGACTGCCCTGAAAATAACCTAGACATTTGCCATTTGGTGTTTTAACCAGCACCATGAACTGCACTGGGAAAGCCACTGGAAGTCAATGTGGCCCACGCAGCACTGGTTTACTCAATTGAACCGCAGGGCATCCAATGCATGTCACTTTTTTTCTGAGCCAGTTGTAGCTTCCAGAAGGTCTTCAAGGGCAGCCCCATGGAGTGTTATCCACAAGGGAGGCGATTAAGACATCCCTTAGCTCAATCCATTTAATCAATTTACAACACATGCAAATACTACTTCATGTTACCATTTTCTAAATGTTTTTTCACATTCCTCTTGTGACAAAGTTATGTTCATTACTTTATAATGCTCTTTATAAAATTTTGATGGTTAGATGTGTGAGAGTTACAAATTACAAATGGGAGTGTCAAAATCCTGCACAGACGACGGTCTTATTTACATCAAATATATTCGTACACTGAAATATTTTGAGTTCTCCCAGCATTCATTTTTAAAGAGAAAAAACAAATTAGAGCAATCTCCACATCTTCTTCTTTTACCCCTGAAGGACTAGGCTGGGCACAGCTCCTAGAGAAAATCTACTTATGAGGCAGCTAAAGTTAACACCAGTTTGATGGCTCATCAACATCATTGTCATGCCCTTGGTGGAGTCGGACTGTGAGGGAGAGGAGGAACAGCCAACAGGGAGTGGAGGTGTGGCTCCAGAGGTTGTGGAGAAGGCTGGGGAAGGACAGAAGCCGGCTGGGAAGTCAGAGGAAGAACCAGGCCCATCCCCTTTTCATCCTAGGACAGCAGGGAGGAACGGAGAAGGAAACAACTTGGCTTACAAGAGAGGAAGCGGCCATGATCCTCCTCATTGATTGCAGCTGGGAGACCAGTATATAAGAGAGATGATTACAACACAGCGTTGCCAGAAGCAAAGCTTGTTTTATTTTGGGTTGAAGTTACCTTGGTTGGCGTCCTTCCAACAGACTGTGCCTTGTTATCTCCTTGAAGTTGGTAATTACTTATTCTGGTCCGTTGTGGAAATTCCTTCATTGTAGTTTGTTTTAGTTTTTTATTTCAGCTCTATCTGCTCATTAAATTCGGACTGTACTGCTTTCTTTGGAAGACTATTTTTGAGTACGTTTGATCTCCAACTGAGAATTATTGAACAATGGGGCCAAGTTGGAGGCATTAAAGGACATTTATTTACATTTTGGATTTTGTTACGTTTGTGTTATACTCTGGGTCAACAACATCATATGAAATCTCCTCCCCCCCACCCTTGGGAATACCAGATAATATTACCTTGTGCACTTTGAAATGTGCTGATTCTCCATCACTTGTCACAATCCCCGCACTCTCTTGGCCTCTATGAGAAAAGGAAGAGCAGGTAAGGAATCTGTATTTCTGAGTCTGGATCTTTATGTCACCAGAAAGGTGCCATTCATGGTTGAGGGATCTTTACAGGTGTTGTGAAGACCCCAAAATCTGCAAAAAGCTTTGTAAACTGTAAGAAAATAACTCTTCCTCTTAAAACAAAAATCACACACGAAGAAGAACAATACATAAAAGCAATTGTGGGAATGGGGAGATGGAAAGAAACGTTATATAAAAAGAGACGGTTGACGGGAACTTTAAAGAAAAGGTATCACACTGCAATATTTAGTTGGGGAGATCCTTTTCCCTGAGAAGTTCAAATGCTGAATATGTGATATTGGTCCACACACACCCTTTAACTTTGTTTCTGCAGACTTCATAATTATTGGACAAAAATAGGTTTTCATGAGAAGAAAAAATATTCCAGAATCCCAAGATCTGAACACCTTCTAGAGTCATAATTAAAAACAAAAGCATCTTCTCATGGGAAGGATTCTTATAATTAATTCCAAAACCTTATTAATTCCAAAAAAAGTATCTGGACATGTAACTTCCCAAAATAAAACTTCTAATTACCTTTTTGCTGCTTTTTCCCCCACCCACTTTTTAAAAAGTCCTTAAAATTGTAATTTCAAGCTACTTTTATTAAGGCTTGAAAGAAACTCAGCTACTGTTTTTAAATGTGTTGCTCCAAAGATTCCTAAAACCTAAAAAGTTAACAAGCATTTTCTGAAAGTGATTTGAAAAGAAAACATGTATTTTATTTTATTTTGACCATGGTTTGTGCAAAAAGATTATTCCCTTGTGTCCCAAAGCCCTAATTCTGGAGACTGCTGTTTTGCAGTATTCTCATGAGAAGCAACTGTCTGGAGCACTTCTGAATAATCTCAAGTCTTTTTGTTGTCCAGAGAGCAATTTTAAAAAGAGGTGGTTTATTTACTGGCTCTTCATTCCAGCATAGTTGTTGGCGGAGTCAGTCTTCAGTTGCCATTTTTCCCACAGAAGTCGCTTTCTCTACTATATTAGAGGCATGGCTTGCAATAGTACGTAAGAGTACTTATAATACCATTTCCTAGTTAGATGCCTTCCATATCATGTTGCATCTTCGGCGTTTAGTCATGCCGGCCACACGACCACGGAGACGTCTTCAGACAGCGCTGGCTCTTCGGCTTTGTAATGGAGATAAGCACTGCCCGCTAGAGCCGGAAATGACTAGCATGTATGTGCGGAAACAACTAGCATGTATGTGCGAGGGGAACCTTCACCTTTACCTTATAGCATGTTGGATCACAATTCCCAGAATTCCATTAAGCATTGCTATAGTTCCCATTATATTTGAAGAATTTCCCGAGTTTGCTAGGATGCCAGGCGCAAAGCTTCCCATCAAAAATTCTAGACTGAAATAACTTTGGTGGAGAAAAAGGGAAAAAAAACGCATTGCCTTTCTCTTCCTTCTCAGAATCTTTCTGTAATATGAACCTGTTGGCTAGTTATTTAGCTGCCATGGCAACATCTCGCAAGTATTATGGAACACCGAGGTTCCTTTGTTGACAATACTCAGGGGGATCTCAATTAGCACCTGAGATAGTTGCAGAATCTAGATTTGGGGTGGTGGAAGACACTTAAAAAGAAACATTTATATAGAAGAAATATATCTATATTATATATACGATTCTTTCCAAAATATCATCTAAATTCAAATAAACATTTTAATGAAATGTTTTATTTGAATATATAAAACAGAAAATGTAAATTTAATTGAAGTAATTTGCAAACCAACTAAATTAGTATTGCAGTGTGTTATCACATTTTCTGTTAAGATGAATCTTGCATTTATATAAAGGATGTCATGTATTTGCTCCAGACAATACAAAAAGAACATAGACGTGTTTTCCACACAAACTTGAACTTAATTTCCTTGGTTTGCTTTTAGCATATTATACTTGATTCACTCAGTAGACTACTGAAGTGGAACTATAATTGAACATCACTGAATGCTCAGAATTCAAATTACAGTGACTCCATTAGTTAAGAACCACAAAAGGCTTTGCGAATGCAAATCAAGCATTTCGGAGAAAGGTAAGTATGTGCATGTGTGAAATTATGATTTACAGTTTTGAAAGGGATTCTAAACCGTGTGAAAAAACAAACAAACAAATATTTTACAAAACCAAAGGCATCATTTGCTAGCGAATGCGGAGAGAATCGGGGTGCAAGTGTTTTCATTCCAAACAAAATCATAGCCTATAGTTGTGTGTGTGTATGTATGTGCTGACATATACATTGGACAACACCTCCCATCATCCTCAGCACCCAGCTAGGCTGGTGATCCAATGCCTCTGGAGGGGGCCAGATGGAGGAAAGCTTAGAGCTCTTGTGTACATTAAGAGCAGAGATTATATTTAAAGCCCATTGCATAACAAAGGTTATACAGAATGCATTCCATCCCTGGAATTGTGCTTAATTTTTGCAGAGCAGAAAACAGCTTATTTGGGGTGCCAATGATTAACAGACTTTGCAATCATTTCTGCCCGAGCTGCTTTATTTTGCAGCCTCTAAGACGGAACCTGCTTATTTGGCAGTTTCTCAAGTTACTCCCCTCAGGCAGCTTGAGCCAGTAAAACTGGATCCTTTCATCTCTGTGGAGCTTACTGACAATCAGCCGTCTGGTTTCCTAGGAAACGCAATCTTGGCTAGAAATAGTGAATCATTTCCAGGTCACTTTCAACATGGAGAGTGGAGCAGGAAGGCACTGGACTGAGGAGGAGGTTAAAGCCTTGCTAAGCGTCTGGTCAGAAAAAAATATCAGAAAGCAACTCCATGGGACCTTACGGAATAAAGGGATATTTATTTACATTGCTAAAAGGCTGCAGGAATTGGGGATCTGCAGAGACTGGAAACAGTGTCGGGCAAAGTATAAAAACCTGAAATATGAATATAGGACAGTTAAATATGCCCACAACTCAGGAGATGCTACCAAGACTATGAAGTTCTTCCATGAGCTGGATGCCATATTGCAACATAAACCTGTCACCCACTTAACAGAGGAGGAGAACAGCAGGTGTTCAGCCAATGACATCATAAATGCCACCAAGGAGAACAATGAAGGTAAAAAAAACAACCATCCCAAACTGTTTTCTTTTCTTCCCCTCCTTCTTCTTATTGCTGTTATCTAAAATACATACAGGCTTGTAAAACTCAGGCCCATGCAAGGCACTGCAGAGGACATAGTTGGTAGAACAAACCGATTTAATGCGCTCCCTTATCTGTGTGTCTGTTGGGGAAGGGCAGGGGGAGGGAGACAAGGAGGAGGGTGAATGTTTCTATAAATACATAAACTTAAGTTAAACCAGCTGCTGAGCTAGCTAGTTTCCTAAGCCGAATTCCTCTAGAGAAAAACAAAATCAAAACAAAACAAAAAAAAGAGACTTAAGGGCCGGCAAACTTCTGCCGGTTTTATTGCTGGTTTATCTGTAACATTTTGTGGTGTTTTATAGTTGTGTTGCTGGGTTTGAAGAGAAAATGCTGGGCCACGAGCAATATATATATATATTTATGTCACTCCCAGTGATATGTTTATGCCCTGCTAGAATTTAAGCAAAACGGACCAAAAATGTAAATCACCTGCTTGCAGTGATGGAAACATGTTGTTGCTTTGGAAATTTTGTTTTTCCAAGAGATTTGTCTTACCTTGCTAAAGAACCACTTAAAACACATCGAAGTTCTTTTAAATGGTGAATCAACTGCTGAGATGACCACCTTTCAAAAACTATATTCACAAGAGTTTTGCATGTTTGAGTTTTGCATGTTGTATTTTGCTTGCCGGCTGGAAGTCAGAAAATATATTTTTGGGGAAAGGAAAAAAAAAAAAAGCCCAAAGCCAAATCAAACCACTTGACAAAAAGTATTCCTTGATAATAAATTAAGAGCATGTGTAAATTATTATTCCGTGCAGCTTTCAAGCATTGATTTATAATTACAGGAAGATTTTTTCCCCTTTAAAACATGATCAGGGAAGTAATTTAAAAGGTTTCATTTTCTTTAGAGAATTCTTGGTTAAATATTTGACTGTAGCAAGAAGAACCGAAAAAAGTCTAAATAAACCTTGCAATGCACATTAATTTGTTTCAAATTAATAACAAAAAGACACTGGTTTTTTTTTTAAAAAAAAATAACTATCTTTAAATAATATAAAACAATGCAACAAAAGAGAGGAAAAGCCCATAAATTGAATCCTGTGTCTAGATAAATAGTCTATAGTCGTTTGTTCCCGGTTTTGAGAATGAGGAGATGGGTTTTTTGGTTCTGTTTTCACAGTTTATCAATTCCAACCTACATATACAAATTATATTTAAAAAAAAATTGAGATCCACAAAAAAAAGCTATACCTTTCCCCTTTCTACAAACATGTGAATCATGTTTATAGATGTTTGCTGGAAAAATAGCAGCGTACCAAGGATACTTCTCACCTATTATTCTTGAAATCTCTAAATAAAGATATTAATTATGTTACAGCAGCCTAGCGGGAGTTTCTCCCCTAATCCAAATCAAAGAATTGAATCTAATGGCTTTGCAACTAAGTGAACAAAACCACGTTTCCCTTCCCCCACTTCCCTAAAGTACTATCCAGTGGTACAGAAAGGAGGGAAGGACTCTGATTTGAGAAAGTAGACAGCTACCCAGAAGGTGGCATTTGCAAAAATCAGTACTGTAATGGCACTTTCAGATTATCTTCAGAAATGGTTCCTCCCTCATTGTCAATAATTCTGTGGTAAAAATGAGCCACACTTTCATGGGGTAAAGGGCAGGTGGAGGCTACCCATTGACTACACTTTGGAACAACTTCTGTGTAGTAATTGAACCCAATTGTTCCATAAACTATTAAGAATGGGATTCTTTCTTACAGCCTTCAGATGGGTGAGTTGGAGCCATCAGATTGCTTATACAACGATGATGATTTGTCTGTCTTTATATTCTTTTACTAGAGAGGTT